CTCCCTCCCTCCCTCCCTCCCTCTCTCCCTCTCTCCCTCTCTCAAAGTAAACATACATTTAAAAGGAATAAAGCTAAAAACAGTGCAGACTGTGTACTTGAAAACTACAAAGCAGTGTGGGAACCTATTACAAAGTCCTAATTACAGGGAAAGACGTCCTGTGTCCATGGATTAGAAGTACGGGTCCTGTTGAAATGGGAGCACTCCACAGGCTGACCTACAGACCCCGTCTGCCCCTCTGACACCCCAGCCGACTTCTTCGCAGAAAGTGACAGGCTGATTCTAAAATTCATGTGGAAATACAAGGGACCCAGAATAGTGAGAACAGTTTTGACAGAGAGGAGTAAAATGGTAGCATTCATACTTTTCCATTTCAGAACTTTACTCAGAGTTACGGCTGTCTAGACAGGCACGGACCTGGCATAAATTCAGAGTTGCAAGTCGGAGATAAAGCCTTTAGTTAGTGGTGAATTGATCTTTGACAGGGGTGCCTAGAAAATTGGGGTGGCGGATATATTTGGATGGGCTCTTCTGTGGCCCAGTACTCGCTGGTGACCTTCGTCCCTGCGTCTCCTGTGGCCACAGTCCCCTGTTAAGCTGTCAGGCACTGTGCCTTCTGTCCGTTCTACTGTTGGTGGATCTCTGGATCTTAGTTTGGCCTGTTAGAAGTGACAGTTCTGTGTCACACTTGACTCTTGCCTTTTGGCTCAGTTGTACACACGTTGCTATTGCATATGTGCCCAAGGAGTGGAATTGGGGGTTCGGGCATGTTCTCCTTGCAAATGAGTTTGCAAGGTATTGTAACCAGTTCTCAGCTCTACTCCAGTGAGCTGCGTGTAAGACTTCCCGACGCTCACGTTTGCCAGCACGTGGCAAATCAGCCTTGGTGATTTAGCATTTCCAGTATGCGTGTGGTAGTTGTGGTTTTGACGTGCATTTTCTTGAAGAGTAGTAAGATTGGGCACCTTTTCATATGATTTTGGATATCTTTCTTGTTTGGGAAGAGCCTATGAAAAGCACTTGCTATTGTTCTTCTAAGTTATTTATCCCTTTTGTATCAGGTTTTAGGCCTTTATGTATTCTGGTTAGGTGTCTCTTGTTAGCAATATGCTGCAAATAATTTTTTCCTCACTGATGTGCCTTGTTACAGATACTCTTAATTTTGATGAAGTCCACTTTATTAGTCTTTTCATTTATAATTAGTTGGGGCTTTTTGTTTTGTTTTGTTCTTTAAATTTTTGATTGTGGAAAAGGAGTCTTGTTAGGTTTGTCAAAAAGTTGTCAAAATATTCTGTATTATCTTTTAGGGCTTTATTGCTTTGACTTTGACATTTAGAAGCCGAATTCATTTGGGAAGGATTTTTATGTTGTGACTGACATAGAACTTTGGTATTCTCTCCCGTCATCTCCTGTAGATTCCTACGTTTCTCAACCCTTTTGCGAAAAGACCAGAGTTTTCCTTATTGGTCAGCAGTGGCACCTTTCTCATTAACCTGGCGCTCAGGAGCTTGCGGGCCGGGCTTGCGGTGTCTCCGCGGGCACATCAGTAGACCAGTCTGTCTTCGCGGAATACCGTTTTGTCATAATTGCTCTAGTTTGATATTTTAGTTTTGTTATACTGTAGACTCAGCCTTCCTTGTTTCTCACATTTGTCTTATTCATTCTTGGCCTTTGCATTTCCCAGTAAATATTGGGAATACCTTGTCAGTTCCTCCCAAAAGTCATGTTAAGATTTTGATTGGTTTGTGTTAAACAGAAAGATCAGTTGATGGACACCTGACATCTTTGCGTTCTGATTTTGGAACAGGATGTGTTCTGTGTATTTAGGTTTTATTTAACTTCTCTTAGTAATGTTTGATAGTGTTTTTGTTGAGAGAACCTGACTTGCTCATCTGTTATTATAGTCTAATGTTAATTTTTCTTATTACTGAAATGGGCATATTTTAAAAACACTTTCTTGCTGATCATTACTTATACGTATGTATACTTGTTTTCTGTGTCATTAATTTTTCCTTTTGTATTTGCTTACATCCTTGTACTTCCTTTGGGGCTCATTGGCTTTTTTCACCCTGCTTTCAAGTGGATATTTAGATTCTATTTTTAGTTTCCCTTTTATGTTGTGTGCATTTAATTGTATATATTTTCCTCTTAACGTTTTCCTTCGCATTGGGAGAATGGTTCATACACTTTGCTGTGTTGAGGTTTTATTATCATTCAGTTAAAAATATTTTCTAATTTCCATTGTGATTTCCTTTTTGACCTAAGACTTCTTTAGACCTTAGTACTTGATCTTCTTTGTTCATTGTTGGAAGCAGCTTTATCCCACAGCATATTGTTCTCAGCTTTCACAGCTTCTGTTTGTATTGCTTGTTCAGAGACAAGTCAGCCAGTTCTTAGCGTGTGTGGGTGGATCTTTCCTTAGGTCTCAAAAAACATAAGTACTTCATGACATTATGTGAAGTGTTCTTACTACTTATTTTTCTGTAGTTTGATACAGCTTTCCCAATTGATAGAATTGTTAGTAATGATTAAATAAATGTAGGAATAGTGAATACTTGTAAAAGTTTTTATATGCTATACTGTACCATTGAGTTTTTGTCCTTTTCTGCTTTGTAAAAGAATTTCTCCCAGATTTGTGGGATTTTTGTTTGCTCAGTTGTACGTTTATTCATTCAATATTTAGTAAATACTTTATTTATGATATTTTCTGATTTGTGTTGGATCTTGGAAGAGCCCTGGCCTCACTTTCCAGGGTTATTTGGTCTAATAGGGAGGATGTAATTTTTTCTAGGGCAGAAGCTTCTGTCTTGCACGCACAAGTTCAGATAAGAAAGAGGCCAAAGAAAAGGCAATATTTAACATTTTTCAGAAATGGAGTAGTTTTCAAGGCATCACAAATGGTATTTTCATGGTTTGTTAACAGAAAAATTGTAGAAAAGCCTAACTAAAGAATGAGTTTGAATATAAATTAAACAAATCGTTATATAAATCATTAATGTTAATTGCTTTAGTATAAATTTTAATTATAACGTTTTTTAGAGAGTTTCTGCTAGCTATTTCTGCTTTGTAATGGAATGATGTTACTTTATAAACTTGCATATATATAATTAGTATTTTATATTACTCTCTGCAGAATCAAAGAATTCCATCGGACATGGTATTTCTTAGGACGTCAGAAAAAGCAGGTATTTTTAATGTGTATTTAAATTGCTGATCATTTAGTATTTTAGCGTTTTAATTTTGAAAGGTAAAAATTTATTCTTAAAAATAAAGTTTTCTTTGAGTGGTAATACATTAAATTCATTAATTCTAAATCACATTTAACTGTTGGTATTTAAAATGATGGTCTTCACTGTTTGTTTGTTAACAAAGTATAATCCTATCACAATCTTTGTATCAAATGAGTATTTTCATTCAAATTTGTATTGATATCTAAGTAATTAACGATACTATTGCTTGAAACTTGATTGCTATTCTGTATTTGCAGTTTTATTAATTCAGCAAACATTTATTTACGTCATGTGCCAGGCACTCCTTGTCTCTTAGGATCCGAAGGGAGCAAGTTTTGTTCCCTTCGAAGAAGTCACATGGACGGACACACCTTGCCAGTAATACTGTGATTATATAGGTAACGTAAGAACTATAGGCTCTGTGTGTGGAGGGGGGCATGGGGGGGACAAGAGAGGAAGCAGACCATTTGCTTCGGTGAGTGGCAGTGGGCTTCACCGAATAAATGGTTGCTCCTGTGGCGGAGCTTTCACCAGTAGGAGGAAGCTGGAAAGGGCTGACGAAATGGGAGCCTCGTGGGGTCAAGGAGAAAAAACGAATGTTGGAAATCTCGAGACCTGAACTCCGTCTGCTTTGGCCAGTTCTGAATTGCGGAGCTAGCCGTGTGGTCACGCGTTTTCATCGTGTCTGAAATGATGGGAGGTCCATCCAGTAATATCCAAGCTCCTTCTGCTTACGTCTCTGACTCTGTTGAGTAAATGAGCACTATTTTTATAGGAAGCTCAGCATAGGTGTCACCATTTGTAGTGTGAAACCTTGGAAGAACAAAGTTAAATTTGAGAGTTGTTAATTTTTCTTTCTTTTTTTAAATTTTATTTTCTTTTTTTTTTTTTTTAATTTTTTTTTTTTTTTTTTTTTTTTATAATTTTTTTTAATGTTTTATTTATTTCTAGGAGAGAGAGAGACAGCATGAGCAGGGGAGGGTCAGAGAGAGAGGGAGTCACAGACTCTGAAACAGGCTCCAGGCTCTGAGCTGGCAGTCAGCACAGAGCCCGACGCGGGGCTCGAACCCACGAACCGCGAGATCATGACCCAAGCGAAAGTCGGACGCTCAACCGACTAAGCCACCCAGGCGCCCCTAAATTTTATTTTCAAGTCATCTCTGTATCAAACGTGGGGCTCGAACTTACATTCCCGCAATCGAGTTGCATGCTCCATGACCTGAGCCAGGCACGTGCCCCAAAAACTGTTTTCTAAGTTTATTTATTTAAGAAATCTCTACACCCGGCGTGGGGCTTGAACTCACGTCCCCGAGATCTAGCGCATGCAGAGCCAGCCAGGTGCGAGAGTGGTTAGCTGAGGTTTTTCTTGGAATATAAACAGTGTCTTTTTAAGGGAAAGAAAACGTTTTCACCTAACGACTGTCGTTAAGGTTATTTACGCTGTGCTGCCGCTCTGCCAACGCGCCTGACGCGCGAGTGCGCTGGACCCATTTACTTGACTGCGTGTTACTTCCCGGCAGTTTGGTCCTTCCCATTTCCCTTTCTTTTCAGAAATACGGCTCGACCCCCTCTCCAGGCTGTGCCCTGAGCTCTGGCCGGAGGAGGACGGCTGGCAGCCGCGTGCGCCCAGGCCTGGGCTCAGCCTCCTCCGCAGCCTTGGACCCTTCTGTTCCCAGCGCCGGCTCGTGTCCGAGGCCGTAGGGCCATGTCGGAAAGCTGCGTGCGGAAGCCGTCAGCCTGGGTCCTGGAGGCCTGTGGGACTGAGCCCCCCTCCCCTTCCCCGACCACGAACCTCTGTGACAGAAATGTTTGAGCGCCCCGACTGCAGGGTGTACCTCTAACTCTGCCTTTGCTGCGCTTCTTGCCCGTGCAGAGCCCCGGGGTCTCCCAGGCGTGTGATGACGGCCGATCGGGTGGTCCTGGGCGCCTGTGCAGCTCTGCGCGGGCAGCTGGCTTCTAGGCTCCTGGGAATGTGATAGGAGTTTTCAAAGCCTCCTTCAGGTCATCTGATTTTTCCTGGTTTTCTTTTAGTTTTTTGGCTAGCTTCTTGTTTACCGCGGCTTCATCTCCACCAGAGGAAGCGGTGACACTCCACACCTGCCACAGCCCAGGGACAGCACTGCTCATCCAGGCACGCCCTGCTTGGTCAGGGGATGACAGTCCTCTGGGCTTGGGTTTGAAGAGCCGCAGCCGTGATTTGCCCCCTTCGGGGGGCTGCTAGTTTCCTCGGCTCCTGTGGAGCCGTGGGGCAGGGGGAGACGGTTTGGGAATGGGGGAAGACCACGCTGCACGGCTTCCTCTCAGCCCAGCGTAGCCGTGTGTCTGCGTAAATGCGCCTGGCACTGTCGCAAGTCTCTGCTTCTCCAGAGTTCTGGAAAGGTGGCCTTTGATAGTTTTCACTGATGTTCCCATTAAAGTTACGGAGCAGTGGATTTGCGGGGACTCTCACACTGCCTTCCTGCTTACACTTCCTACTTAGGACGTGTTTGTCTTTGTTTCTAAACGAATTTAATATAATAAATAGCTACAGTGTTTGTGCTTGAGAGATGCCTTAAATTTTTTTTTTAATATTTATTTTTGAGAGAGACAGAGTGTGAGCAGGGGAGGGGCAGCGAGAGAGAGGGACACAGAATTTGAACCAGGTTTTAGGCTCTGAGCTGTCAGCACAGAGCCCAACGTTCGAACACACAAACAGCGAGATTGTGACCTGAGTTGGACGCTTAACTGACTGAGCCTCCAGGGCGCCCCCGAGAGATGCATTTACGTTAATTGCGCTTTTAGTTTTTGCGGTGGAAATATATGTGGGATTAAGAATGTTAACCTGGGGGCTTCTGGGTAGATAGTCGGTTAAGAGTCGACTCTTGGTTTCAGTTCAGGGATCTCAGGGTCATGGGATCAAGCCCTGCATCTGGACTCTGCGCTGACAGTGTGGAGCCTGCTTGGGATTCTGTGCCTCTGTGCCCCTCTCCTGCTAGCACATGCACTCTCGCTCGCTCTCTGTCTCTCTCTCGAGATAAATAAACTTTAAAAAAAAAAGATTATCCCAAATAAGGAAATGGCATTTAGATAACTTAAAAGAAATAGATTATATAGTTTGTGTTAGGAGATAAAAGGGGAAGAAAACCCAGCATTTTAAAGCTGGAAGATAATGAGAAATGTCCATTTTTCGGAGGAGGAATCTGAGAGCTGAACAGTGTCAGTGCCTTATTGAAGGTCCCATGACCAACAGCATTTTTAGACGTTCTTCCGCCTCTGAATGATGTTTTCACTGTATCATTGTTTAGGCAGCAAAACAGAGATAGAATATTAGAGCGTTATGCAAAATGAGATACTCTTCATTATTTTGGCTTTGGATAAATAACATTACATCCAGATCGATGATGTTTTAAAAAACATTTTCTTGGGGTGCCTGGGGGGCTCAGTCGGTTAAGTGTCCGACTTTGGCTCAGGTCATGATCTCATGGTTTGTGGGTTTGAGCCTCATGTCGGGCTCTGTGCTGAAGGCTAGCTCAGAGCTTGGAGCCTGTTTCAGATTCTGTGTCTCCCTCTCTCTCTGACCCTCCCCTGCTCACGCTGTCTCTGTCTCTCAGAAATAAATAAAAAACATTTAAAAAAAAGTTTAAAAACATTTTATTTCCCTCAACTTTTCCCTTGTATTTCATGTTGTGGGGAGTAGCGCCCTCTGTGGTGTAATGAGACTAAATATTGTGGAGGCCCTGGGTGTCTTTGAGAATCTTAGGAATTAATCACCTTGTTCCCCAGAAAAATGTACATAATTAAAATGCACATATGCTAAATTTTTTATTTCACATATTCCTGGAAGGTTATTAACAGATCTGAGTTAGGACCTTACTGTAGTCTAAGCCTACAGTTCTATTATATTCCTTAGTTTTCTTATTTTTTTCTATCACATTTAAATTGTTAAAACCATCACAGCTATAGATAATGCAGACATTAAAATGTCAGATTGCAATTTCATGCTATTTTTTTTCTGTTTATAAAATGGACGCAGTAGCTTCCCAGCTGGATAAATTGTGTGTCATAATATTGCTTTACATCAAGAATTCTCAGGAATTCTTAGAATTTCTTTGGAAGTTCTGTTTCTATGACTTTAATTATTTTAAGTTTTTGTAATTGTCTCATTTTCAAAAGTACATCTAGTTAGAATTTTTTGTGTAGATAACCAAATTGATACTACACCATTGATATTACTTCATTACTTTGCAGTTTCAGTTCAGAAAAATCTGATAGTAGGTTGTCTCTTACAATAAAAATCTTCAAACTCTAGCCCGTATACATGTCTTCAGCCTCCGCGGTGTCTGGGCTTGGGCAGGTGAGGTTCGTGTTTGTCAGCACAGCTCAGGGAGCCTCTCTGTGGTGTCGTACTGACCGCGTGCTGATGCCGGGTGCTCCCTGGGGCTGCTGGACGGTCCCCAGGGCTGCCCGACACAGACCGCGTGCTGACGCCGGGCACTCCCCGGGGCTGCTGGACACTGACTGCTGCTGACACTGGACGGTCCTTGGGGCTGCCAGCTTGATTGTTTCAAATGCAGATGAAGCTGTTGATGGATCTGGGGACTGATGGCTTAAATTCCAATTACTCAATTGCTTCATCAGTTTCTTAATTCAGATCAAATATCTCCTGAATGCACACAATTATTTTAGTGGTATTAAGAGAAATTAATGCTTTAGAACTAATTTTCATCAATCTCTTATAAATGCCAATATCTTTCTCACTTGTCTCCTAAGTGATGACGTTATAGTTTAAGTGTTGGGGACATATTTTAGTAGCTCAGCTGTCACCTGGTAGTGGGCCAGTGGCAGGTGAATGACACTGTGCTCGTCCACATTCTCTCTTGGTGCCATTCGTCTTCCCACAGGCTTAAAAATTTCATGCAGAGTCATTAAGTCATATAAATGATTTAGAAATTAAGTTTAGTGGCAAACGATCTGGT